ATATATTTATTCTATTTTTCGAATTTTCAAATAACCTTTTGGAAGTAACATCATTTACAAATTTTCCGTAGTTTTTCGACCATCTCACTCATTTTCAAGAACCAATGTGGTGTCTGTATGGTAAGCATAATTTCTTTGTCTACATCCTGGTGTTCTTTGGAAAGCTGAAAGTTTCAACTAGTCTAAGGGACGTCATGTGTAACGGCTATTGGGAGGGTAATCACACCAATAATATAGCAACTTTTTTCCATCACATTATTTAAAATTGGAAAAATACAATAAAGATTAAACAATAAAAAATTTCGGTTCTTTTTCTTCAAAGTTGTTTGTCTATATATTAATATATATTTCAAATTTAGTAGATGTTTTTTAAACAGTATCATTTTAGTCTACTAGTTTTAGATTTCGGGATTTTGTAATAAAGAAAATGTAACCATTAGTATCGATTCACCCCCACCCCCTTATGTAGGGAGACCCCCGTATATAAAGATGGGTTCCCCTACTGTTCGGTTCACACTCCTCCCCAGTCTTTTGAACAGAAGTAGAGGTTTATCCATTATTTCCTTTTTAGAATTGGGTTTCCGGCTCTTTCTAAAAATTTTTTTCGTTCTCTTTTACTCCCTGTACACCATCGAGTCTTAGTGGCATTATCGCCTTACTTTGGATGAATTGATTAAACATAAATAAAACAAAATAACCAGGCGTTCTTTTTGACTGCTAAGTAACAATGAACTCACTTACCTTTATGGAGAAAAACACATCTCTTGTTCAGACTTTACCAAGTTCATATCTAACTACTTGATTTTCGTACACGAAATATAAACATAATAATTTCGAAGGAATTAATGGACTTTGCTATTATTTATAATCCAACATTTTATATTTCATTATAAATCATATTATTGTTGTCATTATTGTCATTATAAATCCTTAGAAATTACGTATACATGCACAGACGAAGATAAATAAAACATTAACAGCACTTACGGCATAATATATCTTTAGGTATGCCACACTGTATTCTGCTCATGCGGGCTTATAATTGGTACTATTGGGGTCACGTGATTGCAGTTTGAGCTTGTTTGCACCAGTTTTCTCACTGCTCTTACAAAGTAAACATGGCCGATCTGCTAGCAGTGTCTATTAAGTTGTCTGAAAATTTCGATTTTCAATATCTTTCCTATCAGTTGATCAAAAGACATAGTGATATACAATAAATATAATTTTATTGTTAATACTATTATTTTTGTTGATTTTTTTCATCTCTTCCATCGGCATATTCTATCTATTAGTATATATATATATATATATATATATATATATATATATATATATTATTTATTCGAAAATTATAACATAAATATGTTATAAAATGTCTACAAAAATACCCGTTTTGTTTCAACACTTCTATGTTAGTTTACATGTGCTACTAGATTGGCATCTAGGTCCCGCCCTTTTAGTGTTGAATTAGTTAAATGTAACCGCCACTTCTACTCCAACAGTTTCTTTTCTCACACTTCCCTCTGTGGAACACCCTTCCGTTTCCTTCATAACTACAATCTTCCAAAATTTAAATGCAATGTTAATGGTCGGCATCTATTTTCTTGAAACACGTTCAGCTTTCGTCCTTTTCTCGGTATCCATTATAGCACGATCTTTTCTCCCATCATCACCCTTTGTAACCCCCTGCGTACCAGTGGTTTTCCCGCCTTGATTGAGGTGAAATGATTATTATATATATATATATATATATTTTGAACAATAAAAAAATAAAAAATTAAAAAATTAAAATCATTAGACACACTGGGTTGTAGATTAATATTCTTTCGTTTTTTTATTATTATTATTCCATTTAGATTCCTCGACTAGTTTCGACCAAAATGGCCATCATCGGGAGGATAAATATTTCTGCTTGCTGTTGGCAGTGAACTACAGAAATGAATGTCTTTTGTTGGAGAAAATGAACTTTTGTCTGTAGTTTTCATTTGTTTTTTTATTTTTTTATCTTTTTCACATGAATCTTTTAACATTTCTTGTGTTGGTCAAACAGTCTCTTTTAAGTTGTTATTTGAGATAAGAACTGGATAGATACATTTTATCCTGAATTCTCTGGTCAGTTTGACAGTTTTATTGGACCTGGTGAGGGGATGTGTCTCTGTTTAGTGTTTGTGTGTGTGTTATTTGGTTCTTAGGGGAGTGAGTGAGTATGATATGTGTAAAGCGTGTGTATTGCTGTAGGTGTGTGTTATCATTTTGGCTCATGAGGGAGGAGTGAGTATGGTGTGTGTACGTGTGTATAATCGTGTGGGTGAGTGTATAAGTGAGGCCTCCATTCTCCGTAAGCATGTCTGTCTTGTGTGGGTGAGAAATGTGGGTAGGTTTTGATTTGTTGAGTTATATATTGTTACTATTATATATTGTTAAGTTTATGATTTACCCCGGCTGGGTATTGTGTTTTTTAGACGTTGTATATATATATATATATATATATATATATATATATATATATATATATATATATAAGTATATAATTGGTGTATACAGAATGAATTCCAATAACCAACAATTACTATTCTTAAAAGAGTGCTCAATACAGAGTAGAGCAGATGTAATTATTTATTTTTTAAAAATTATAACATAAATATATTATAAAATCACTACAAAAATAGCCATTTTGTTTCAACACCTCCGCTTTTGTAACAGCGTTTTCCCCTTGCGAAGGATCGTTAATAATTTGAAACTTCTAAAACCATTTATTTTACATTCAACATCATCACTTGATAAGACACCGGAGGTGTTGAAACAAAATGGCTATTTTTGTAGTGATTTTATAACATATTTATGTTATAATTTTTTAAATAAATAATTATATATATATATATATATATATTCAATAAATCTAATATAGATACATACGTACACACACACACACACGCATATATATATATTTGTGTGTATGTGTGTATGTATGTATGTATATCATTGAGATGTATGTTAATAGAGTGTTGTGCGAGGTGTCATGCTTGTTCGCAGATACCAATATTGATAAGTAGGTTTTTTATTGAAACACTTCTCAAAATGATTACCTTCAAATAAGACTTTTTAAAGAAAAGTATGAATGCAGGACATAGTTTAGAAAGATACAGCTCAATAGTTTGAGCAATGGAGCAGAAATTATGAGTTATTAAACGGTGCAAGCGGAAGTATCGACGCAGGTCAGCTCCATCAAGTTTATCTTATTTAGAAGGCAGGACATTTTCTGCTTAAAAAAAAAAAAAGAGTGAAAGAAAATAGGGAGATGATTAGATGAAGCATTTCTTTCGCGATTATTATCTCGATTTACCAAAATCTATAATGCCCGTTTCACGATTATCACTCAAATTGTTCGGTGGTTCTTCGAAACTACCTCAGAGATTATAGAAAACGCTTTCCTCTCGCCTATTGAAGAGTAGACACTTTTGACAAGATAAATCTCTAGACTATCTACGAGGAATTTTTACTTGAATAGCAATAATAATTTGATGAAAACAGACCAAAATATAAGCTACACACCTGAGAAGTTATATTAAAAAAGGTACAGAAATTATGCATAAAATAGTTTACGACATACGGACAGAAAATGAGTTCAGCATATATAATCAAACAGAAAGAGGTGTAAGACAAGGATGTGCCTTCTCACCGGACCTATTCAATCTATCCAGCGAGGCGATTCTGAAAAAATTTGAAGATTTACCAAGATTCATTATTGGCAGCCATAATCTTTACAACATAAGATATACAGATGAGATAGTTGGTAGCAGACACGGAAAGAAAACTAAAAAAAAGTTCCTACAGAACGTAGTGAAGGAAAGCGAGAAGAAAAGATTAAACATCAAGAGTAAGAAGACAGAACGCATGATTGCTAGCAAATGGATGATCCCGAAATTTAAATTACATATTGGAGATACAAAAATAAAACAAGTAATATATATATATATATAGGAAGTGTTTTAACAGATGACGGAAATTGCGATACTGAAATCTGAATGCGTATTGGGATAGCCAAAGATGATTTCCAAAAGCTAAGCAGAATATTAAGAAAAAGAAAAACTTCGTTAGAAACAAGAAAAAAGTGTACTAAACTGTTATGTAATATCTGTCCCCAACTGTATAGTAGTGAGTGCGGGACAATCTCCTCAAAGATGAAAAAAAGAAATGAAGCAACAGAAATGTTTTTCTACAGAAGGATGCTGAGGATAACATGGACAGAGCATATGAGCAACGACGAAGAAAAACATCTGGAAGAGACAGTTGACATTTCTAGGACACGTAAGAAGGCTTGGAAAATCTGATTCTCAGAAGACAGATTGAAAGCAAGAAGGACAGAGGAAAATAACACATCCTTGTGAGCATGCATAAATGGATAATGTTGCAAGGTTTAGGTGAGATAACAAAAAGAAAAACAAATATTAAAAGCTAGAAAGAACAGGGAATTGTGGAGAGCCATGGTCACCAACGTCCTGAAGAAAAAGAAGAAGTTTGGTAGAAGTAACTAATAATTTTAAAGATTTTATTATGAGCTATGAAATAAAAAAAAACTCAGAAAGCTTGATTAAAACCCAAGACTGAGTTCAACGTTTCTTAGCCGAATTTTATAAGGCAAATAATACAAACGTATAGGATATTTAAAAATAAAATAGAGTTGATTCAATTACTAGCAAAAACCTAAAAAGAAGCAAAGAAAATTAAAACCGGGTCCTGCTTTGGCTCATAAACGAATTTGATTTGGAGGAAACGAATTTGTTTCAAGAGCGAGAAAAAAAAATAGACTGATCTGATAAAAGCCGAGCTGGTCCATTTTCATAAATTTATACAGGTGGCATACCCCGATTCCATTTTTAAAAATACTTTTTTTGTCTTCCATTGAAGATAGACTTTGCTTTATTCTACGTTTATTTCTTCTTTGATATTTATCGGCCTTTCGGATTGCGCCTGCGCAAAACCCAAGCTCACCCAACTAATTATTTGCTTTGCCGCGCCATTCGCAGATATCTTATCACGAGTTGAGAAAATCGCTTTTGGTTGGCGGCTGGTCGCAGGTGAAGGGGAGGAAAAAAGACATCTAAAAGAGAGAAATGATCGTATAGTGGAAGAGAGAAAAAGGATGACGAGATTATAAGGAAGACATCGGCACTATTTTCGGCTGGTCTTTAAAGAAGTCAAGTAGAATAAAGAAAAAAAAAACGAATTAATGAATGAATAGAATGAAAAACAAAGCAAATTGAAAGAGAAAGAAGAGAGCATAATGGGTAAAAGGAATATATAGAATGAAAAATAGATTAATGACAGCCGAATGAAAAGAAGGTCAGGCAAAAGTGGAGAGGGGGAAAAAGAAGAAAAGACGACAGGCAAGGTAGAAAGAAGGAAGGAAAAATAGACACGAAAAGGAAGAAAAGAAAAGAGATGGGGAATAAGGAAAGAGGAATAAAAAAGAAACAGCGGAAGAGAAAGAAGAAAAGACGCTGAAAGGAACAAAGGGAGGAGGAAAAACGAAGAAAAGAGATGTGAAGGAAAGAAAGAGAGGGAGATAGGAAGGAAGAAGAAAAAACAGGGAAAATGAAGTGTGATAAAAAGCAAGGAGAGAAAAAGAAGACAAAACGGCAAGCAGTGAGGAAAGACGGAAAGAAGGAGCAAAATCAGAAAAGAAAGAAGGCAAAGAAGCCGGAAAGAAGAAGAGAAAGGTTGGTGAGAACGAAGAAGGAAAGGGCAAGGAAAAGAAAAGACGACAAGAAAAAAAGAAGAAAGGAAAGAAGGAAAGAAAAGAGGTGGGAAGGAAGAAAGTATGATAGGAAGGAAGGAAGGAAAGAAGGAAGGAAGGAGGGAAAGAAGGATGAGGAAAGGAAGGAAGGGAGGAAGGAAGGAAGGAAGGAATGGAGATAAGAGCAAAAGATGACATGGAAGGAGGAAAAAGGAATGGAGAGAAGGAAAAAAGGAAGAAAAGAACAGGTGAGAAATAGGTAGAAAGAAAGAAAGGAAAGATGGAAAGAAAGAAAGAAGGCGAGAAATAAGAAATAAAGTTGGGAAGGTAAAACAGTAGAGTCGAAAAAAATATAAGGAATGAGTTGTAAGTGGAAGAAACATTAAAATAAGCGAAAAGTCATAAAAAAAAGACTGAAAAAGGAAATAAACGAAGGAGTAAAACATCAAATAAATAAAGGAACGAAAAACTAATAGAAATCAGAATGAAAGATAAGATAAACAAATACCTTGCTAATTAAAATTGATAAAAGAAAAATGACATATGAATAAACATCGCGGAAGAAATAAAAGGCAAAAAAGAAAGAAAAAAAGAATAATGAGACAATAAATAGCATAAAATATAAATAAATAAAAAGAAAGAAAGAAAGAAAGAAAGAATAATCCAAAGAATATCGTAGGAATTTTAGCCAAGGGAAAAAAAAAAAAAAAAAAAAAAAAGGATGAAAAAAAGAAAAGATGACATGCAATTTAATAAAGAAAGAATGCATTAGAAATTAGTATATTCTATCAGAAAATAAAATAAAGAAGGAGAGAAAAATGGACGATCGAATAAACAAATAACACAGAAATAACAGACGAACTTGTGAAAGAAAAGAAAGGAAAAAAGAAAAGAAAAGAAAGAAAGATAAAGAAAAAGAACCAACAAAGTGAAAAAAAGAAGAAAAAAAAGAACGTTATTTTGGAGAAAACACAGAAATAAGATTCAGAAATATGCAAAGATAAAGGAAAATCAGAAAAAAAACCCCCCAAAAAACAAAGGTATACTGAAAAAAATAAATAGAGGGAGGTTAAAAAAAAAAAGAAAGAAAGATAAAAACTAAAAGAATGTGGAAGTGAGGTCTGCCAGGAGAATGGAGGTGGGTAAATAGATGTGAAAAAAAAAAAAAAAAAAAAAAAAAAGCTGTAATTCCGAAGCAGAGAACTCAGAAAGATTTGGTCGGTGATAGGGCATCCCAGTAACGGAGAATGCTTGCAGGTATACGCCGAGAATTTAGGACGGAATATACAAGTAGATGCCGAAAAAGGTATGATCTAAAGATAAACAAAGATAATAGAACGAAAGGTGAACATTTGTTCGCATACGGATCTTGTACTATAGGCGAGCAGACAGAAATTTAGATAGTTGAAGTGGAAGCGAGGATATTGTATCGGTTTTTGTCAGAATAATCTGTACGGGTTATTGGCATATATAATCGCAGTGGCATACGTCCGCAGATTGACTTACATAAATGCTTTCGCTTTATGTAAATCAAAAAAGGTTAAAGCGAAGTGAGAAACTGGCCATTTTATGTTATGTTAATCCGGGTGTGCAATTTGATTTAATTGAATTATTGGATGGACAAAGTTTCGAGCTTTGTGAATAATGATTAAGAAGTGGATCTGATGAGAAAATACCCCAGTATGGTGATTTCAATCCATGGTATTCTAGCCTTCTCTATAAACTAAGAAAAGCTATATATTTGCGTGTGCACCGGTTCCTATATGTGTGTGCGTGTGTGTGTGTGTTTGTGCTTTGTAGAATGTATTAGAGTATCCGAAACAAATGCAGATCTTTTCCACTCGCCCTCTCCCTTTCTCTCTCGCCCCTCTATCTCTATCTATATATATATATATATATATATATATATATAAAAGAAATATGTTGTAGTGGTTCCAACGAGAGAAAAGTATGTATATTAAAAAGAAGAGGGGTGCCGCAAACGTTTTTGGTTGTAATGTGGATTTATTGAGAAAAAATATTATACTTTGTTTTACATAATTTCACGACACGTGTTTCTGGTCTGGTCTCGCAACCGTCTTCAGGTGAAAGTGGAGATTTTTACATATTATTAAAAATAATTAATTTTTCTTCATGTTCGATGTGGAATATTCTCGATATGAGACATTCTGTTTCAAACAGAAAAGTGTGTTGGAATTTTTGAAGAAGGGATAATAAATAACCTTATCAGTTGCTACGGTTAGAAAGACTTTTTCTCAGTCAATTTGTCAAAAAAAAAAAAATAAAGACATGGATCTAGTCGAAGTAGGCTAATTTCAAATCCAGTAGATATTTCAATGCTTAAAAAAATACTGTTGTAATATGTGGTAAGGTTATTTGATATCGCTTTCTTAAAAATTACTATGCCCTTTTCAAACAGAATTTGTCTTTTATTCCGACATGAAAACACTTTTATAAAATTTACGGTAGATGACGATGTGTTGCTATGAAGGGTAGGTTACGTTTGTCATTCGTGCGCATTTGTGGCTAATTTGTCTTCAACGTTTAACGCGTGGTTAACTGAGAAATGTTCCGTTTAACAATGGCAAGATATTCATATCGTGAGCAGATAGATATTATATTTACATACGGCCGCGCGAACGGTAATGAACGCGAGGCTGCAAGGCTGTTTCAGATTGTGTTTCCAGACCAAAGGCAGCTAAGTTAACCAAACGTTAACTGAGACAGGGTCCGTGGCACCACAAATAATGGATTGAGGATTGAATCATGGAATTTACATTTAACAGCGTCTACCGTTAACTTTAAATTTAATAACTGAAAAACGAAGGATTTTCAGACAAATGTTTATATGGACTTTTGTCCTTGTTTTGCTGTGAGGAACCTGCCCCCAAGGTTTGTAAAAAGTATTTTTGATACACCTTGTAGTTACTAGATGAAAGTCATTTGCATGTTTAAAATTTTATTCTGATATCAACGTCTAGTTTAGTAAGAAGTAAGGAAAAAATCGTCACCAATATTGCTACTTAGAAACACCCAGGTTAATTTTTTTTTATCTAAGCGAATAGAAATGAAAATACATATCTGAACAAATCAAGGATAAGTGGACGCAGGAAAAGATGAAATAAATTTAAAATACAGATTTGATACCTACGTACAAATATATGACTGTATCTCTTTAAATATAAGTATAAGTGTGGGTTTGTAAACAGTGACTATTATGGCTGATATAGCGAGAGTCTTCGGCAAAAGCGAATTGAGTCCTGTCGGTCACTGTCTGTTTATCTAAAAATAAATACGCTAACATTCACTTTCACCCCTGCCATGCGCCGACGGCTTAGTGGTAGAATCTCCGACTGACGCCAATTTCGATCCTAGCTAGAGGCAACCAGACGTCTAGCCACACTGAAGAGCTGCGAAACAGTCTGTCTGTGGATGACATATATATATATATATATATATATATATATATATATATATATATATATATATATATAACCATGGAATATTAGTGTTTAAGCCTTTTTTTATATATATATATATATATATATATATATATATATATATATATATAAGTGCTATATTTTTAATTTATTAATCCGACAGATTTGATAAATTAATAAATAAAAAATTAATATAATAATAAATAAATAAATCCATCCTTGTCTTAAGAAATTGCTTTGTTTACGTTAGGATAGGAACCTGAGTAGATATGTCTATTTCGAGAGGTAGAGAAAAATCTGTGTTTAAAGGCACCTTTCAACTTGAGCATCGACGCAATCCGTTGCCAAGAGGTCGAAAGCCCGTTGAATCTAATGATGGTTTCTCCTTGGGGAACACAGGTTCAAATTCTGCAAAAGAACACGTATTTTTTCTCTAAAACGAATACGAGTATCCACTAAAAACGTTCAAGTAATAATATATACATATATATTTAATTAATTCATCGAGTCTGATAGAACCTCAACAGAATGCAGAAAGCGCTGGACGGCCGATTCGTCCTATATTTGGGACTACATCAGTAGTGCGCATCCACCGAGAATCGAAACCCTGACAGTTAGGTTGTCAAGCAAACATCATACCAACTGTTCCAATGGGCCTCGGGGATGGCAAATCAGACTCAACATAACTCCGCTCGCTCACATATTCCGTGGCGGAACCATACTGCGTTCTCTGTAACCATAGGACTGTGCGCCCCTAGAGCCACGCCGCTACCAACTGGAGCATTAGAAGCCGGTTCAAGCGATGATAAACACAGATAGTAAT